AAAATATCCCTACATGCTTTGCAGAAATAATGCAAAAATGCTAGAATGCTGATCCACTTAAAAGACCAACTATTGAAAAGCTTTGTGAATTCGCTAATTATGAACTTATAAATATCTATAGAAAGTCCAATAATACTATTTTAATTTTACCAATTTCCAATCTAGAAAATATAAATAAACCACATCCACTTGCATCTTCATCAAGTAGAATATTAAGTGGAGTTATTCCTAAGTCAATTGAAATTTCAAAGTATGTGACTTCACAATATAATCTTACATTATCTGAAGAAATGTCCGAAGTTCAAAATAAATAACTTTATTTGAACATAGTTGCAGTATTATTTAATATCTTATAAAATTAGATCTTATTAAACTCTATTCCTTAAAAATTCGAAGTATTAAGAAATAAGATATAATAAAAATAAAAAAAGAGATAATGACAAATCTTAAGAATTTAAATAATATAACAACAATAATTAGCTTATTTAAATAATAAATGATTAAAAAAATCCTTACTTTTAAATTCAATAATAGTTCGAAAAGATTCAAACAGAAAAAAATTAGATAGAGTTCTTCGCAGCCCTGATACACCTCCAGATCAATTAAAAAAAGCATTTGAAAACATTTTAATAATACAATATTCTAATTAAATCACCACATTACTAAAGGCTTCATACAGCTTTTAACAGTACCCACATCAATTTTTTTATCTAATAATATCTTTTTCATTATCTATTAAAATAAATTTCTGAATTGTCTTGTTGGTAAATTAACTTATAATTCAACAATACAATTATTACAGAACTTGGATTCATTGGGAGATTTGTAATTTCTATGTATGTTTAGCATTCATTCATTAACTTTGGATGAATCCAGTTTTCAATTTTTTTTTATTAATACCAGATTGGGTGTATTACAAATGTGAATTGAATGGGTTGTAATAATAAAATTTTATCAATTTATTTCAATTAAAATATGAATTTTCATTGTTATTACATTTATTAGCAATTAATGCAACTGAACAGTATTCAATTCTGAAAATTTTATTTATTTCAAGTCTTGTTGGTAAATTAACTTATAAATTTAGTGTTGATATAATGCTAAAGGCATTGTTATTATTTTTTTTGGTCTTATTATATCCAGAAATATAGTAGGATGCTGTGGCAAGAAATTTAATCTCATAGTTTTTACTAGAAGTAAGTTTTGAAAAATATCAAATGCTTCTTTATATTTTTTCTTATTGTAAAGTTCTAATGCGACTTTAAAAGCAATATCTTCATTTTGAAAAAGTCCGTTTTAATTTTGATAGCAGTTTGCCATTTTAATTAATGTTTTCAATTTCGTCTCATCATCTTCATCATCTCCAGTTAGTTCTCGATAAATATTCCAAGCATCGTTAAACTTTTTTTTTCGAATAAATGATTTGCTATGCTTAAAGCATAAGATTTATTTTGGTTTACACCATGCCTATACATATAACAAAGTGCTAAATAAAATGTTGACTGGCCATAAATTTCAATTCCACTTATATCGATTGATACCATTCAGTACTTTTAAGAATAGCAGAAGATCAATATAGTTCTGTTCAAATGCTGAAGGATCAAAAATTTTCGAATCGCAAAAAATTATTTTTGATTCTTTTAAAATGACAACTTAGTATAAGTATATTGCAAAGATTCCTGGTAAAATTATCGAAATCACATTCTTCACAATCTTTATACAGTAAACGCAGATATTCACAATGGCATATTGAACTAAGTCCAGTTTTAAACTTTTTTTCTAAGGATACGGATTAAAAAAGAAATTGCTTGAGGAGTCTTTGGAAGCCTATCTTAGAAATCGACACTCTCTTGTAATTAATGCTTTTTTCAAAGCTAAAAGAAACCTTTATACATACAAGATTTTTTTTAATGCACTTAAACGTTTTTGCTTATCTAAGTTCAAATGGTATGTATTAAATCAGATTAGTTACATTAATAGCAAAGTCAACTCACTTTTTTAAAGATTATTTTTAGTTTTAAATCCGTTAAGGATGGTAGGTCATAAAGAGAGGATTCTAGCAGTTCATGAATATTATGCTATAACGGTGTAATAACTTTGTTAATGTTAAAGGAAATATCGTGACCTTATCAAACATGTTACACAAAATATTAATTAAAGTGTCCATTTAGTTTCGGAGTATTGTAGTTGACTATTTTGGCATAATTTCATTGCACAGATCTTAATGCATCTTAAGATGTATTTTCAAATATATACAGGCTCTAATAAACTTCACGCAAATTACACAATCTCATTACAAATTGGGTCTATTAATTCGACAGCATGCCTAAAATTAAGTCAATTCAATTTGAACATTATGACACTAATTCATTTCGACTTAACCTTTATGAAACATGCGCTACACTTGAAAAAAGTAAAAAAAAGAATATAAGGGTCAATAAGGTTCAATATGCTGCCTTATAAAAGAAGGTTAAAACAAGATATGCTGCTCTCTGAAAGTTTAAGGTGGGACATGTTGCTCTCCGAGAAGAGATTAATTCGGAAAATGTTACCCGTCGAGAAAAATTAGATGCACAAAAAATTGCCCTTGAAAATGAAAAAAATCATCTTAAAAAAGTTGCCGATTCTCTTAGCCAAGAGTGTTGTCTTCTCTCTTTAGAAATCTTTTCTCTTAAAAATGAAAACACATTTCTTCAATCTCCTAAATCACCAATTACACCTTATCCTAAAGACTTTTCCATCGGGAAAAGTTCTATTCATTAGTTTCTTTGATCTTGAATAGTTCACATAATTATTATTATAATCTTTACCAATTTATTTTCAACACTCCTAATTCTAAATTTTAGGGTTAGTAGTTTTATCTATTTGATGTATTGCATTTAAGTATATTTTAAAAAAATAAAGTTTATTTTATGTGTAAAATTTAGTAAAATTTTATTAGTAAAAAAAATTATTTCATATACATAAATTTAAGTCATAATCCGAAATGGATGCTAATGGGTTAGATGTTCACGGTGATATTTTCAAAACTAGCACCAGTACTTGATGATATTTCGAAATAATGTCTATGTTTAAATTTTATGCGAATATAATTATTGTACATGATTTTCATACAATATACAGTATATTTAAACTTCCACATCACTTGTTTCATGATTAAATTTAATACAACAAATGAATGAATACAGAACTGCAGATATCTGGGTATATTTAGCAGATTTCACCTGAAAATTTATCATAATGAACAGTTTCATAACAAGATGCTGGAATATATGGATCAGTTCAGTAATTTTCGTATTGATTTTTGAATAATTTAAATAGAACTAATTAGGTATCGAACAGTATAATCGACCAGTCCCTACAAAGTCTGACAAATTTCTAAAATTTCTGAAATAAAGTTAACTCCAATAATTGAAAAACTATTAATTAACAATCCACATAATAATGATTAGTATTATTATATAGTAACTATAGTGCAATTTATTATTTTTATATAGTTGTGAAAGTTTTTTTTCCTCATTTATTAAGAAAAATTTTATATAGTACAAAATTTAAAATATAAATATCTTATAAGTTACTAAACCAATTTTAATAATTTTTTTACACTATATATAAAAATGTTTTCTCTACATTTTTTGCTAGAAAATTGAAGTATATTAGCTTAGTAAAAAAATAGTTAGCTATGGAGAAAATGAAGATTTCATAATTATAATAAATTTAATAGTAATTTGCCATATCTATCTTAGACGAATTAGCAATTAAATATTTTTGACTTGGATATCTAGGGATAATTATTTTAAAGAAAATAATACTTTTTATATATGAATTTAGACATATAAAAAATTCTGATAAACACCGTAAATTCGAATTTGCTCCATATTATCGGCTCAATAATCTATACTACTGACGGTTTACAAGAAATAAGCTTTTATGATCAGTTTGGAAGTAATTAATAAATATTGCGAAAAGTATTGTTCGATAAAGATATCATTCCATAAGTAATTTGAAAAGGAGTCTTTAAGTAGAAAGAGCTGAAAAATTTAACATAAATTAAAATTAAAGTTATAAATATTTGTATATTTACTATTATTGTCTTAATAAAAAATTATTTCTGATTTACTAAAATAACGATAATATACACGATTCAATCAGAAATAGTATAGCAATATTAAGTTAATTTAACATAATGGCAGTAAAATGAAAATATCCGACAAACGAACTACTGTAATACTTGAAAAAAAAAGAACATTGAATTTTTTTATGTCAGATAACAATCTAATCTAACAAATTTGTACAATTTAAAAATCAACTTGACAACAAATATAAAAACGGTTATTAAAATTTTTTTTTACTTTGTTATACGTCAGAATGTTGATGGCATAGGTTTTATTCTACTTGAAGCATTAAAGGATCTACTTTTTTGGAAGAAGACTTAATTATTTATTCAAACTTAAAAATAGACATGCATCCTACTTTAAAATAGTAAAATTTTTATATTCGAAAACCATTCTCTTACCGATACTATTGAACAACCCATTTCTGAAGGGAGTCGACCTATAATGAAAAAAAGAAAAAAGTAAAAACAAAGACGGTGAAATGGCAAGGAATGATAATTATTAATACTACTGGAGAAGTCCATTTTCAACGATAAGCTGTGCATGCAGTTCTTTAAGGAGCTTTAATTGACCTTTAAGTTCAGCAACGCATTCTCGTAGAGAGATCACCTCATCCTGAAGTGCATTAAACTTCTCCTTTTTACGTTGCCTATAGTTGAAATTGATTTCCTTTCGAGACTTACGAATAAATACTTTTGCCATAATAAAGGGAAGGCATTAAGCGAAAAGTCACTTTTATATGTGAACTAATCTTAAGATCTCTTTAATTCATATAAAAATGGTGTATCAATACACAAAAGTAACGGTAACGGTACCATGTAAATCATTACCTTTCTTGCTTATCACGTTTAGAATTTCTGCATCACGGCCAGTGATAAAAATTTTGAGTATTCAGAACTGCTTTATTATGAGAATACAATTTGTCTCAGTATGTATCGTAAGTATAAACGAATGCATCCTAATAAAGTTGCTACCGGAAGTATTTTGTGTATTGAAAGTGGAACAAGAAATGCTTTAAATATCCAAACTGAGAATGTGCGAAAAACTCATGTACTTACTATATAATGCTTACAACTTTAAAATTAATTTAATATTACTTTTTGAATAGGAATTTATTATACTAAAGTTGATAGATTTTTGAAATATAAATATTTATTATAAGTTTGGTGAATCAAGGGTTGTGAGTATTTATTTGAACTTGTTTTTAATTTCAATGTTTAATAAAACTCACTGAATGAATGATTAATATGAATAAAATGATTTGAAGATATAAAGCATCCTAACATTACCCGTCTAGAATTAAGTTTATTATGACTAAAGTCAATAGAAGTGGAGTTTTTGCAAAGAGTGTTGGCTAATATTTCCCTCCCTAAAATTTTCACAGGATTCATACTAATATAATTCATCAAAAACTCGTTTCGTTCTCCGACGGTATCTTGATGCCGTAGAAGAATGAAATGAGCGAAAAAATAATAGAATATTATTGATGTAACTTTCCTTGTGTTTAAATAAAAGAGTTATTGGTCACTATTAATGTCAAATGTCAACTTAAAGCGTCAAATTAGTTTACTATAGTATTTATATTTTTTAAGTTAACTTCAAGATAACTTCTTACATTAAGCATAATTTAGGCCAAATTAAGCTTTATGTAGGGCTTTATGTAGGCCAAAATATTAAACTACACCGTGGAGCGTTATTTTGAAATGTTACGGTAAGACCTATTTACTTTGTTTAATTGTAGAATAATTCTTTACGTGCATAAAATATTGAATTAACCAAATTAAAAATTTTTAAGAATTTTATTTTTCACTTCGTTGAGTTAGTCCGATGTTATGTTAACCATCTCTATCTTGTCCCTTATGCTAAATTTTGTAAAAAACTATTTGTTTCGAGGTTTTTCAATGTTATTATTAGTTATTTCAGTGTGATCTTTTTTTATTATTTCTGAATTTTATACTGAGGAAATCATTATTGTTTCTTTCTCTTTTTTAGTAAGTCTGTCCCAACATCTTTTACTTTCTTTTTTTTCCCACTTGGATTTTGTTATTTGTTTCAGTCAATTGATTTTTTGATGGTCTTGTAGCTGTCATTTTTTCAACATTTGATAATTCTATGTTGACAAGTTCAACTCACTCATCGCAAGTTCGTTCTCCAACGGTAACTAGAGGCCGTCGGAAAATAAACTGGGTTTGAATAATAAAATTTAAAAAAAGAATTTCTTATAGTACTGTACAATGCATGCTTCGTTTTTATGACTTATGCATTTAGAAGATGTTGTGCAGAAGTCGAATTCATTACGAAAGTATTTAAATTTTGATGTATTATTTATTTTCGAAGTAATGAAATTTTAATAAAATTTCAGCCAAAACTTTTAACACTCATTATGTAAAAGTCTCTTTTATTGAAATAATTTGCACTTTCCAGGAATATCATATTTGACACCAATACAGAACAATTTAATAGCATTTTAGCTATTAATATGAGAACCAAAGAGTTATTTATGTGGAGTTGAAGGTGTTTTACCAATGACCTTCTTTAAATATTCTAGAGGTGTTTCATAATTTTCAGATTCTTTAATATTTATTTGACTTGCTATCTTTTGAATTTTTTCTATTACTTTCAAGTTCATTTGAAAAATGTCCTAAAAATTTAATCAAATCAATAGAAGAAAATTGTATTGTAGAAATGATATTTATTACTATTATATTAACCTCAATCTGTAAAAATACTTCTAATGTGCTTGCCATATCATGATTCATGTTAGTGATTGGAATTAAGATAGGATAAGAATTTAGATATGTAATGAAATGAATCTTGGTTTCTTCACATATTTGGTATATCATAAAACAAAGCTTTCCATCTAAAATTGATAATGATATTATAATACGTTCAACTAATATAAAATTCATGGAGTTACATACCAGATGAAAATAGCCCAATCCATCGTATATCACAAAACAATTTCTTTAATTCTTTAGTAACCCTTTTACATTTTTTTGCCCAGTATAAAATAAAGCTATTTGCAGCATCATTAAGCATTCTGCAAAGTTTATTGTAGTCTCCTCCTTGAGGCTTATTTAGACGTTTGGCTTCACAAATAAGGAGATATAGTTTTATACCAGTTTCTGGAGAATAGGTTATAGCTATATCAACTTTTCTGCTATACACTCATTTGTCATATCAGGAGATAATAAATTGTGCTTATCATTTGGAATATAGATAGGCTCGTCCTCATCATTCTGAATAATAACTACTGTTTCTAGAACAGAATCATTAGCATCAAAATGTTCATCTTCGGGCTTCTCAAATAAATTTACTGCTTCTTGCAGATTCTTTGGCCATTCTGTAAAAGGGGGACGATGATATAGTTTTTTTCGTTTATAAGAGCATTGAGTCGGATGTTCTGGACTAATATTTTAGATCTTTATATAAAATTTATGTTATTATATTTAACAACAATATTTTAAAAAAATCTTTAATTACCCATGTAAATGAAATTTGCCAAATAAGAACTTATTTAGAACAATCTCCAAAGGGATAAATATATAATTTAAAACTAAATCAGACTCTAACATATTGTCAAAAGGATTAATCCATTGTTTTATCCTAAAAAATTAAGTCTTAATGAATATTAATAAATCATGGTTAAGCTTAAACTTTAAATACTTGCCATCGTATGAGAATAGATTCAGCCCATCTCTTTTGTTTATAATTGAGAGATTTTAATTCTATAGAAGGTGGTTCATGACTAAGATTATAATCGCTGTATGCTTGATCTACAGTGCTGATTATATTATCTATTTGATGCAGCTCTAGGTGAAAGCATTTGGTTTTTAACCAGTCTAGTAAAGATCTTTCATATATTTTATTCTAAATTGAGTCAGCTTTTCCAAAGTCAACAATATAACACCAGAAAGAATCTAACAAAGAATATTTAAGAATTTGTTCACGATACTTAGAAAGTTCATTTAGTTTATTGATAAACCACTTGGGATTGCCATTCTAAGTTCCAGTAGAATATATTAATAAATTATGTCTTGATAAAACTGTAATTAATATTTAGTTTACCTTCTGTACTAAATAGTATTCGATCGTCTCGATCTTTTGTTTTTGTCAAATTTTATTGTTGATTTCTTTAATCCGATCTACTCCCATGTTTTGTATAAATTTCAAAATGCTATTTATTTCATTAATGTCTCTACAGCTATACAAAATCCTTTGTATAATAGTTAACTTATTAATATTACTCTTCGGCACTAAAATAAAATTATTTTTATAAATTTTTTAATCGAATCTTTTTAATTATATTAAGTAGAAGTATTAATCTTACAATTTTCATCCTTTTCATTTAGATACGCAATATTTGTCCAAAAATTCATTATATCATAACATATAAAGGTATTCTGTAAAATATAGATATAAGCATTAGTATTGTATTACAATATCAATTTGCTTGAAATCACAAGAAACAAAACTATAATAGCAAACAAATATTTGTCAAGTTACTCGATATCGTATTATACTGAAAGTAGGAACCAGTCAAAGATAGATAAGGTTATCTTTGTAACCAGATAATCTTTGACACGAAACTAATTTAGTAGTCTTTTAATTCCTTAAAGACTTTAAAGATATCCATATTGCAATAAAAGAAAGAACCAGTCAAAAAATTGCTAAGGTTATTCTTGTAACCAGATAGTTTTTAACTCGAAACTAATTTAGTAGTTTCTTGGTTCCATAAAGATATCGATATTTGCATACCAGTCAAAAATAGTTATCCTCGCAACCAGACAATCTCTGACACCAAACTAATTTAGTAGTCTCTTGGTACATGATATTTGTACACTCTTATAATTTTGATTCTTCATATCATTATTGCTTACTGGAAGTTTGTCTCTAATAGATTTAAGTTCATTTTTTGTAAATTTTTTATTTCGCGTAGTTGTTTCTAGAAATATGATAAATCAGGCTTATAGAATAATGTTTATTCAAATATAAAAAATTTAATATACCATTAATCATAGCATCTAAACCTACTAAATATTTTTTATGTAAAACCTTTCTATCATTAACCTCAAGATCTACCCTTTCTTTGCAAAATTCTAAAAACTGTAATAGTCCAATATTTTTATATGTGGGGTTTTTTGTTTTTCTAATTTTAAATTCATTAAAAAGATTTTCACCATCTTGAGAACTTAGCATTATTAAGTATATTAAAAAGAGCTTATCATTATGGAACTATTTTTATCATGATTAGGTATAACCTAGATCATATGATCTTTCAAAACAATCTAATTCTGGGGATCGTCTAAAGCAAGGTTCGATCACGTGATAGATAGCCAATCAAGCTCTTTAGCCATCCCCTAATTCTGGTCAAATTTGCAGATCATTTGGCCCGGTGTTTTAAAACTCATCTCCCATAGATTTAAATTTGCGCGTATATTAGCGCTCCCTGTATATTACCGTTACCCCAGTTTTGAAAGTAGATCACCCTGGCCTGCACTATGCAAATTTTGGCCTGAGTTATAACTATCTTGGTCGACATTATATGCAGGGTAGCTTTCACAAAATAACTCCCCAAACTAGAGATGTGACAGTACATATAAATAAACTACTAGCTTACTGATCGCACCTCTACCCCAGACCTTGGTAAGTATTATGTTTATTACTTCTAACTTCTTTTTTTGAGAGGAAAAAATAAACATTTTATTTATTTTTTTTTTTGACTCTTTATAACCCTTTACATTGCATTATTTACATCATTTCTCTATTAAACTTATATATGCTTCCCATATACTACATTAGACTTTAATAATCAGTCAGTCAATTACTAGAATCAATCACGTTACATAGTATTTTATATGCGTATAATTGTAACAGATCAGCATTATACAACACGAGTTTCTTTTTTAAATTACTTTTTCGTCAAAAAAAAAAATTATTTACAAATTTTTAGAAAAAAAATATTAAAGACACTAGACTAGATTTTTTCTTTCTTAATTAAATACTGGATATCAAAATATTTTCCCAATTTTATAATTAATATATATTAAAAAAGTAAATTTATTAACATAATTATTCAAAAACTAAAGTCAGGTTTTCCATTTTTTCTATGGTTTTATGAACGTGAGATTCAATTGTTCCACTTGCAGCTGTTAATTTTGTTAAATTCTTGCGTAATTTGTTGTATTTTACACTCTCGAGTTCAAAAGTTACAATGTTCGTTTTTTCATTGGAATTTTGTAATATAACTGTAGCAAGACTTGCTGTTATTTGGTTATCAGATTTTTTGAGAATATTTTTTTTATAAAATTTGAAATTTGCAGTTATGTTTCCCCTATATATACGGAAAGTTTTTTGTTTAGACATTTTTAGCAAATATAAGATTGTATGAAAATTAGTCTTAGAGCTATAATATTGTATAAAAAATGAATCTTGTATAGCAAAGATTTAATTTAAAAAATATACTGATAAGCAAAACATGTGTGATAAAAAGGGCTTTTTATATATTTAAAATTGAACAGATTTATATATTAATTGACAATATATATATTAAATGAAGAAATCAACTAAAATTATTAAAGTAAATAACATATTATCTTGCAAACAGAATTTATGTGGGCTATTAATTTATTATAATAATTTTTGAATAGCAATTATCTAACAAAACATTTTGTTTATTCTAAGGATGAGAATGGGGTACTAGGATTTTCCGCAAAGAATAAAGACAAACTTGAACAAAAAATTTTTATAAAATACGATACTAAATCCAAAATTGCAGATATAGCTGCGGGTGAAAATCACGGTTTGTTGTTAACTACCGAAGGTTTTTTATACACATTTGGTAGCAGTGTTGGAATATAACCTGTTATGACCTATTGACCAATTATAGGTTATGACCTTATGACCTGTTATGACTTATAAAATTTACTAATACGTTATGACCACCTTGGTCATATAAAGTTGGATATGACCTAAAATGGCCAACACTGTTTGGTAGTGGTGACGCTAATCAACTTGGAAGAAGAATTTTGAAGCGCCATAAATAGAATGGATTAAACCCTGAGAAACTATCTATCAGACGAATTAAAAAGATTTTTGCTGGCTCGTATCATAATTTTGCAGTTAATGATGATAATATTATTTATGTGTGGGGACTAAATAACTATAGCCAGTGTGGTATTGAATCATCAGATTCTTATATTTTACATTCTACAAAAGTAGAATCCTTCTAAAATTTGCACAGAGTAAAACAAATCGCTGCAGGAATGCACCATTCATTAGCACTGCTAGAAAATGGTAACGTATACAGTTTTGGCCGCGCTGATTATGGGCAACTAGGTATCGGTGAAAAAGTTCATACGTGGGGCTTTGGCGAAACCTTTGCTTTAGGAGACAGAAGTGGAGAGGATAAAAAATTACCATTTGAAATTAATTGCACAGGGAGTTCTATTTAATTTTGCTTGAAATTATATTTTAATTTTGCCTAGAGTTATACCAAAAATTTGCTTAATTCTTTATTTTACATTTTAAAAAAAAAAATTATACAAATTTAGATTGTAAATTCCTAATATTGTAGTCTTAAAAATGAATTTGATTGAACGTCTATATAATGAAATTCGGACTCCCTGGCGAACAATTATAGTAAAATATATAATAATCATGTTTTGTATCTTTTCTTTTTTCAAAGGACCTCCCATTTTTTAACTTTACATATATGAGTTTTTTTTCTCACATATGTTTCTATACATTTTATAAATGCGCATCCTAAGGTTTTCGGACCGATTCTTTATTTTCTTTTATTATTTTTATTTTCATCTTATTTTTCTACTTATTAGCTGAACCTCTATCGGCGGCATTAGTAATCACATGACTCAGCACCATCACATGATTAATACATATATATATTAGTATATCGATCGATATCTTGATTATTGAATCGATTCCCACCCCAGTTGCATCTCTCGCATTTTGATATATTCACTTCCTGTTTCAGGTCTCAAAAATCTTGTTTTATATTGCTTAAATATGGTGTTTGGTATATTTAAAGAAACATTTGTGTGAAGTTTTTCTCAAAATGAAATACTAACATTAAATACCTTTTTATGAACAGGCAAAGGAAAAGGATAAAACTTAGTCACCTTACTAAGAAAACTAAAATGAATGATGTTGGGGTTGTGGATGAATAAAATAAACAAAAAGAATAGTTAGAATGTGTTATCGAATTACTGTAATGAGATTTTTAAATTAAATTATTTCTGGTTCTATATAACTTACCAACTAATATCATGGAATATAATGTAATAAATGACGTAAATAAAATAAACAAAATGAATAGTTAGAATGTGTTATCGAATTACTGTAACGAGATTTTTAAATTAAATTATTTCTGGTTTTATATAACTTACGGACTAATATCATGGAATATAATGTGATAAATAAAATAAACAAAAAGAATAGTTAGAATTACTGTAACGAGATTTTTAAATTAAATTATTTCTGGTTCTATATAACTTAC